GTGGGTGATGGGAGCAAATACTTACACAGAGTAGAAGATCGAGGGCATATGGAATGGAGATTGATTTGTTCTTACAGAAAAGAGAACTGCAGGAGCTGGCAATCACTTCACTTGCTCCTAACAGCACAATGTGTTCCTTCGCTGGATCTGTTTCCCACGATCCTCAATGATGGCATCCTTGGGGTGCCCAAGGCCAGCATCCTGCTCTTCTCTCTCTCCGCACCCTTCTTGGTGGACCTTATCCACTCCCATGGTTTCAAATGCCTCCAGCGAGTTGACATCTGCGTCTCTGTCTCCCACCTAAAGCTGTGCTCAGCACTTCAGATGCTCAACATTTATCTCCATCAGATGTTCCAGTGAGCCACATACTGAAGCCAGCCCTTGCCCCTGCCCCTTCCCCACACTTCTCTCTTTTACTTGAACATTGAGCAAAAGAGTGTTCCTTGCCAAGGTTCTTCGGCACAGCCCCTTTATCCACTGCCAACCCTACTCCATATGTCACCAACCCCACTGGCTAGCAAGTGAATACCAATCCCATAAATAACCAGCTCCGCTGGCTAGCGGCAAAACCAGTCTGTCAACCCAGATCAGTCTGGTCCTTAGAACCATGCTGCTACCACACACTTCCCTTAAAGGAAGTTTCTGCAGTTACTGTATTTGCAATATGCATCATTAAACTTTTATTAATACATAACTATTCACATTTAAGTCAGCAAGATAAAGTATAACCTTATGATAAATATTCATATGAGAAAAAAGTCTATCAAAATGGTTTATTCTCACAGATTATTGCTGGAAGAAGTCCTTCAAACAAACCAGTGCAGTGAAAATGTATCAGTTTTCCAGATTTCTTCGCCACTGCTCGATATGCATCCTCTTTGTAATGTTCTATGTGTGTGTTGTTAGAGAGCTGCTACTTCAGAGGACAGTGACTCTTTGGTGTTTATTTGTATTTCCAAGTTTATGATTTTTTTAAGGGCTACTTTAGAGCTGTGAATTGTCTCACTGTCCTTTCACTCTCTCTTTTTAGTTCTTCAATATGAGCATCCAGGCGCTCCAGAATATGGTGAGACCTCAGCTCCTCCTCTTCCAAAAATCTGGTAGCTATTGAACTAAGGGGAGACACAGGCAAGGAACACTGGAAGAGAAACAAATGTTGCCATGTATAGGAAAGCAGAATATCACATTTCTAAGACACCCTGTTTATGATATTTTCTAACTAGCAATATTAAAAGGTAATTTTTTTCCTCTGAAAATATATATATATTTTTATTTTCATCCTAATGACAACAGTAGTAAAAGAAAAAAATTCAGTTAAGTTCTGAAAAAAACTAATGAAGTTCTCTCTGGCTCAAGTTATATTAATATAAAGTATCATAAATATATTAGTCTGAAATATTATATTAGACTGAAATATTAGTCTAAATATATTGGTCTGAAATAAATCTCAATTTAGATTTATATCCTTCTATACCCCAGAAGAGAATATAGTTAATGTCTATTGCTTCAAACTTATTTTAAAAACCTGAATATGTCACTTTCATTTCAAAGCACAAAAAAATTTTACCAAAAGTAAGTTAGATGCCAGCTAAAATCATATTTTCTCTCCTCAAACATTCTAGTCCACAGTCTCTGATCTGAAACCCTTGGGGTCGGTGGTGTTATGCCACGTGTAGTCACTCCTCATTCACAGTAGCTGTATCCTACAAACTCACCCTGAACACTGAATTAGTGGACACAGAAATCACTGGCCCCAGGAGAAATAAACACACACACCCCTCAATACAGACTGTAATACCGAATCCTAGAAATAGTTCATTATGGTAGATTCTACATTCTTCATTTTACAAAAGAGACATGAGGTTCAGAATTGGTAAATGACTCACCTGAAGCCACCCTACTACCATAGCCACAGTTGGGATTAAAACTCTGTCCAGAGGGCCCAAGCGGAGCTTCTTGTGCTACGCTGAGCTACCCGTACCCTACAATCTCTGTCCTCTGGTCACCTCCTATGAGCACTGAGGAAGAAGGCAGAGCTCCATCCTGCTCCACCTTGGCTAGAGATGTGCAAGTCAGCAACTCACTTTGCCACTCTGCACACACCCACAAATGACTGTGAAGGGCCGAGTATCAATCTGAGAGTTACAAATAAAGTTTAAGGAGTACGAGAATCCACAAATACAGAATCTGTGAATAATGAGGACCAACTGTATCACCTTAGTGGAATCTGAGATCATATCCCATAATCAAACACACTGATGTTTCTGAAGCAAGACACACGCATACTACAATACGTGGGATAAATAATGTCTATGCTTAGTATCACATCAGCTCAGGTCAGGGAAGGTTTTGGTGCCAAAAGAGTTTTGCTGCTAAACTTAGGAAGAAAGTTAGTCATCAGGGCTTCTTTGGACTTCAAAATTACATATAAGTGGAGACTTATCAACTTTCACAGATAAATGACCACAGATGGTTACAGGACATAAAGGCCCCAAGACAAGTACTTCAAAGTAGAAGGCAAAACAATGGTCCAGTCTGCACAGCAGTGGAAAAAACAGGGGGCTGGCAAAGTGTCGAGGCAGCCTATGGCACCAGGACCACCATCTGTGGTACCCGAGCAATGCTCTGCACCTGTCAGAGACCCTGCCTTTCTCCGTCTCTGCCTGCTCCCTTCCCCCTTCCAACAGTTCCTCTTCTCCTTCTTCACTGTCTATGACTTAGGACTATCTTGGCATCCATAGATATTCCTTAAACCAACCATTCCAGTGGAAAATTAAGCCTCTCTGAAAAAGGCAGGAAGGGAACTTCCAATTAAGCTTAAAGACAAATAAATACCTATAATTTCTATTTCAGAACTAGGATGTACTCTGAAAAGCAATCTTGGCTGAATGTGCCTTCATAAACAAAACTGTAAGACACAAATACATAATAATAATATAAAAGAGTGCTTGTGCTAGAAAACTAGTAAGAAAAAAAAATCACCCTCTTCACCTTTAAAATAAAAAAAAGAAATTGAACTGAAATAATCAATAAACTAGTAAGATCAGAAAGTTTCCATACCGAAGACATAAACTCTTCCTGGTCATTCACACTTCCAGATACAGTGTCAGACAAATTGGCTTCATTTGCATCTATCACTGAAGGCAAAGAGTGAGTTTTACCCAGGAAGTAGGAAGGCAAAGAGATGGTGGAGCTGCCAGGGCTGACTGGAGGACTTTGGGGACTTAGGGCCCTGGACATACTATCCGATGCTTGCTCTGTGGGAGAATGAAGACCAGTTTTGTAGTGCTCAGTCTTTATTCCATCATGTCTGTGCTGGCCATGGGTTGGCCTGGATAGTAGATTAGAAAACAAAACAAATGAAAAATTGTAGTAACTTTTCTCTTTCTAATAGAAATGCTGTAGGAAGTTCACTTAAAAAATACACAAGCTAATTCATAAGGCTAAACTTTAGAAAATGAGCAGCCCCCAGTGTTTTTTCAACCTGCCCTTATATGATTACAATACAGACAGTACCCCAAAAATGTATACACGTTTTAAGAGATGTTAGCTATGTATTACTTTTCAAAGTTGAATTATGGTAGCAATGTGTGCTATGATATTCCCTCAGAAGATGGTGTTATTTAAATTAATGCTGGCATCACCATGTGACAGACAGGACAGTCAAGAAAAATGGTAGAATGGCTTGGCACCTGTGGCTCAAGTGGCTACGGTACCAGCCACATACACTTGAGTTGGCGGGTTCAAATACAGCCTGGGCCCGTCAAACAGCAATGACGGCAGCAACCAAAAAATAGCCAGGTGTTCTGGCAGACACCTATAAAATACACAAGCTAACTCACAAGGCTATACTTTAGAAAATGTATACTTGGGCTGGGTGCCTGTGGCCCACCAAACAACAATGACAACTGCAACCAAAAAAATAGCCAGGCGTTGTGGCAGGTGCCTGTGGTCCCAGCTACTTGGGAAGCTGAGGCAGGAGACTCGCTTGAGCCCAGGAGTTGGAGGTTGCTGTGAGCT